GAAGATTTATCGAGGTGCCTCTATGTGGCTGTGCATCATTACATAAGTATTCACAAGACACATAATAACATAATTATGTACAAGATTAATTACAGTGCGAAAATCCACGACCGCAAATTACCTTTAATTGGCATACACAATATATTTTAATGTCAGTAAGCACACTCCATTTTAATGTCTGTGGATGACTTAACAGGTTACCGGCACGAAGCACGATGATTTTCCACCATTAAAAAAAAAAAAAAACCGGCACGAAGCAGGACTGGGAACAAGATGGCTTTTAGTTAGTCAGAAAAAGTCTGGCCCTTCCTCTCGCCACGCCTAAGGTGGGGAGAAGCCATTGGATGAATTTCTCCTTTCAAATAAAAAGTCTATAATCCGCAGCCAATCGTTTAAAATAAGTCAAAAAGTCAAAAGTCAAAATAATTTATTTCAATTAGACCAGAAAGACACTTTTGAACGTCAACAAAAAAAATTAAAAGTGAAGTTATTTGCTCATTCCAAGTTGTAGATTCCTATAGAGAAGAACGAGCAAGAAACTCCAAATCGCTACTAACCTGGCCTAACGCAATTCAGGTACGTCAATAGTTAGTAAGTTGCGGTTTGTTACACATACATTACATCACGCCTTTTTATCCCCGAAGGGCTAGGCAGAGGTGCACATTACAGCACTTAATGCCACTGCAATGTAACACACACTATTTATATTATGAGTTCCATGTAATAGGGGGTGACCCTATTTGCCATATACCGAGCACAATTCCAGACTACGTGCTACTACTGAGGTTTTTTTCAACTCCCAGTAATTCTTTGCCCTACCCAGGAATCGAATCCGAGGCCCCTTGCCGCGACAACCGATTTGGCTTATTTTTGTCTTGAAAGGTTTGTGGAAGTCCAGGGCAGGCTTAAAAAGTGAAAGAGAACATTTTAGGCCGAACGGAGTATGCCAACTAGTGTTCAATATTTATCGCCGCGTACTTGTAATACCCAATTGGGTAGTTTCCAGGGTGTCAAAATTGAAATTCTAATTAGTCCGTCAGTTCAATAATGAAAAAATATTAGATACGTATTTTTTATTTTCTCGTATTAAGTTGCAATACTTAGACAAAATGGCGCTAAGTTTAGGAGTGGGAGGTTGTTACGTCATAACGTGCTACGAAATGTGACACGCTGTGACGTCACACGGTATTTCAAATTAACAGAGTGCTATAATCTGGAACCCCCATGAGATGAAATACAGCCTCATGGTGGAGAAGATGCAAAACAAGTTTACTCGGTACCTGTACCTAAAACAATATGGAGTGTACCCGTATTACCCACTCATGTATCCTTCTCTGTTTGTTATTGGCATGGTGGGATACTATAAGCTGGAGGTCAGGCGAGAGGTTGCACTCGCAAAGTACGTGTTTGAGGTTTTCCGGGGTAAGCAGAACAATCCATCCATACTGGCTTCGTTGAGGTTGCTCGTCCCAAATACAAAGCTAAGGCTGAGCCCGAGGCAGAGACTATTTGAGGTCCCAACCAGTCGCACTAACATAGGTCGATATGCTCCTGTGGCTAGAGCTATTAAAATAATTAACAGAGTTGGACAAAAGGTTGATATTTTCTGTTGCTCATTGGCGGAGTTCATAAAGGTAACGACTGATGTTGTTAGTTGTACATATGTAGTTAATGGATAAGTACATAGTTGTTATAAGTTTTTATATTAAGTTTTTATTTAAGTTTTTTTTTTATTAATACTAATTATAAGTTTTTACATTAAGTGACAACATTATCGCATTGGGTGTAACCTGTTAGGATGTGTTGAATTAAATAAAAATAAATAAATAAAATAAATAAAAATAAATAAAATAAATAAACATATCGTCGAAAGTATTTAATTTTGTGAAAAGAAAAAATACGTGTATAAAGTTTTCAATTAATGTACCAGACGGACATTAAAATAAAATTTAGGAAACTACCCTATTTTTGCCAGCTACATAATTCCTTACTATATATATATTATATATATTTATATATTAATTTAATATTATAAATTGGAAAGTGTGTTTGTTTGTTTGTTTGTTTGTTCCGCTTTCACGCCGTAACTACTAAACCGATGGCTTCGAATTTTTGCAGACGTAAAGGCAGAAGTCCAGATTAAATAATACGGTACTTTTTATCCCGGAAAAATTTGATATTTCCGAGGGAAAACAAAAGTATTGGCATAAATGGCGCTGTGTGCATTGATATATGTCACATACTTTTGTGACTCGAGCGAAGCCGCGGGTAAAAGCTAGTATTGTATAAAAGAAACTAACGTTAAACTTCGTTTTACTATAGAGTACCTATTTTGAAGTTACCAATAAATGGTACGTTATCCGACCCAGGCTTCAAACCTTAGTACCTACACGTCATGATTGTAAAGGCAGTTTAACTCGTTTTATATATTTATATAACACTCGGTAACGTAACCAGTTATTTTTAATATGTTTTGTAATTAGGTTTTTTTGTTGAGATAACAAAAACTAGCAATTGTTTGTTGTCATGATCGCGAAGTTAAAAGTATCGCTCTGTGGCTAACCGCGGTGTGATACTTTGATATAATAAGTCAATAATTACTTAGGTATTTTTAGGTACAGAATAAGTGTTTTCTTAACTCGTCGAGTACCGGTTTTGCAGACACAATTATAGAACAATAGGTTGCGGTCACCGGTGACCGCTTGGTGTTTGACAGTTTAAATCAAAGTATTACTGGGTTTTTAAAAATTCTCAGTAGTAGCACGGAGTCTGAAACTGTGCCCGGTATATGGCAATAGGCTCACCCCCTATTATATGGGACTTATAACATAAATAGTGAAAAGTGCGCGTTACATTGTACAGTGGTATAATGTGCACCTCTGCCTACCCCTTCGAGGATAAAATGCGTGATGTTATTTATCTACGACTAAAAATATAGTTGCGGTCATCACTAGTTCAATAAAAATCTTGAAACATCTAACACTATATCAGGAAATGAGAGGATTTCTCATAGATTAATTATACATGAATAATTAACAATATTCCTTATAATAATAAAATATTGATTACAAAAAATTAACAAGGTATACGTACCTAACGTAATGGGTACCTATTTATAAAACACGTCATAATATTTGACTAACTTCCGATCGTTACTTCGTACGCATACCTATCTATAATAACGTGTTTCCCGGTTGATATTTTGGTTGAATTTCTAGGGAACGCGAAAGGCAAATTTCGGTTTGATACACCCACAGAACATATAACATATAACTTTATAATTATCTTCTGTGGATACACCCAATAGTTTCTGCTGTATATTTTAGTTAATTACTTTATATTACGGTGTAAATATTTATTTAAACTTCCAACTAAAGGCCTATTTTCAATCAACAGATAATTCACTATCGAGTAAAATTGACATTTGATAGTTCTTAATATGAAAGAATTTGTCAAATATTCAAAATTATTACTGCGATAAAACTTATCTGGTTCGATTACCGGGTCGGGCAAAGTATTACTGGGTATTGTATGTTATTTTTCGGTGGTCCATGTATATGTCCATGGCGAATAAATTATTTTTCTTTCTTTCTTTCTTTCTTATTGTTTTCTCAATAGTAGCACGGAGTTTGAAATATATTACATTGGACTCATAACATAAATAGTGAAAAGTGAGTGTTACATTGTACAGTGGCATTAAGAGCCGTAATGTGCACCTCTGGCTACCCCTTCAGAGACAAAAAGGCTTCATGTTATGTAAATTTTTTAACCTAAGTATATTCGTAAATATTTACTCAACTATCATATTTTACTAACACACAGCAATTCACGTAATGAAGAATATTAAATGAATTTCTCATCTACTGTTATAACAACAATGGAATATCAGAGGCCTTAGTACGAGTTTGTTTTACGTTTAAAGTAATCGTAACGAGTTCGCGTTCGGCGCTCCGATTGGTTGCTTTATTGGCGCCGGCCAATCAGAGTGCCGAACGCGAACTCGTTACGAATACTTTAAACGTAAATGAAACTCATACTAAGGCCTCTGAAACCCCGAACGTATTCGTACAAATAAACCGACTTTAATATTTTTATAAGTTCTCGAAAATCTTCTATATTAGAACCATGGGGTCTGATGGGGTCAGGGTTATGTTTTCTTTTTTAGGGGGGGAGGGGGTAGTCGTCCAATTACTTCTACCACATTGGGTAAGACGAGAGACAGTGTCAGACTCCCACTGACTATAAACCACCCCGTTCCTACGTCTGCTTTAAGCCGGAGCCCCGGTAACCCGGTAGCTTGTCCGCAGCTCATATTGAAATCGGTTGGTGCGGTGGCTGGGCAACCGGCTGCCGTGGAACATATCGCGGGTTCGATTCCCGCACGGAACAACACTTTGTGTAATCCACAAATTGTTGTTTCTGGTCTGGGTGTCATTGTGTATGTGAACTTGTATGTTTGTAAACGCACCCACGGCACAGGAGAAAATCCTAATGTGGTGCAAAGTTTAAAAAAATAAAAAATAAGAAAGAGTCCGCCCTCCTACTACATGAGACTCATAATATAACTGGCGCACAGTGTAAGTTACATAAAATTGAGTTCCGCCGCCCATCCCTTTATGAAATATCAGGTGTGATGATGACATCAGGTCATCGTTTGTCAAAATGAGACGAAAGAGGAAAATCAAAACACCTCCGAGAATTAACATAATATGGGAACTTCCTCTTTACACAAAACAATACATTAATTTGTATTGTATGTTTTATATACATTTTTAAGCATAAAAAATATATATCCTACCAAAAGATCTCTCTAGAAAATAATAAATAAATGAACACATGAGATTATGTAAACTGTTCCACTGGTGGCCAAAGGCTTTCAATCTCATTGGTAAACACCTATCAATTCTCTATTAATTTTCTATTAAAAAAACTATATCTTCTATATATTAAATAAAATACCTGTTTAACAATAATTTAGTAACAATATAATATCAGCTTACCTTACATAAGGACACCATTCACTTCACGGATTACCGATCACAACTTGAATTTAAAATCGAATTCTCGATACACGTAACGAATTGTAACTACACTAAGATTTTACACCGGTACAGATAGACTAAGATTAAATTATCATATCATTTATAATCGATTGATTTTATCGATTTGACATTTCGTCGGGATAGATCGATTACATGCGCTCGAGTCGCAAACACGGACACGACTGCGACAAGTGACAGTTACTGCCTTGAAGATCACTGGTGAATACATGTAAGCGGCGCCCGCGCATGCTTTTATACCACACCGTTCTTGATAAGAACATCACAAAATGTAGCTTTAGTTTTTTTAATTAGAAGAACTTTTTTTCCTTTGTATTGTATTTCTTTTTGTCTTAAATTATTGTTCATTTTTTGACATTTAAAATCGATAGTTAATTAGTTTTTTTTGCGAGACAAATACCGGTCAGTGAATGACAATACGTATGAGGTATATTCATTATAAAACAAAAGGTTTGCGTATTTCTTTTTTTAAATATTTTATTGTTCTGTGGAATATTGAAGGGGTCACTCGCCATCTGACACAGTATTGTGGTGTCTAAGCCCTGAGTTTGTTGTACGGTTTGAAGAAAAATATGACTATTAAGGATATATACTCGAGTTCATGCGATCCGCGTTTATTTTGAACCGCGACTAACCTCTAATTGCCGAAATTAATAACCGATGTCTATAAAAATTTGAGAATTAAGATCGATGGAGTTGATTGCTCGTTCTTCTACTTTCGAATCTACATTTTGGTTTGAGCATCTAGCTTCACCTAGATTCACCTAGCTTCACTGACGGACAGACTGAAAGATTAATATTTATTTTGTATTTGTTGACGTTTCAAAAGTACCAAATTATGGTTTAACTCGTTGAGTACCGTCATTATAGACACAATTAAAGAACAATAGGTTGCGGTCACCGGTGACCGCGTGGTGTTTGATAGTTTAATTGAAATAAGCTTTGACTTTGACAATCTTTGACATAATAATTGTATCGAATTACAGTCAAAAATTCTTGAGTCAGATATTTAAGATTAAGATCGTTATCTATTTCGGCCATAAGTGACAGACGGGCTTCTTTCTGATCATAGAAGAACGGTTGCTGAATCATAATATCCACTTTTCTTCACTAATTCAAAATAACACAGACGATCCGAAATTTGAACTTGACACCCCAATGTCTTCCATTCCACTTACAAAATGAACAGCGAGCACAGTATAGGTGCTTGTTTTTTTTTTTAGGATTGTACAACATTTTTATTTAGTTTAAATAAGTAGGTCACATTAGCAATTTACATTAAGTAAATTAAATACACTAAACTGGCGTTATCTATGAAAACCGAATTAAAAAAATTATTAGTTTTAATCAATTTACATACTTTTTTGTCAATTAAAATGTATGTATTTATACTACCCGTGCCTGCGGCTTCAGTTATACCTAATTATTAAATTAGTTGCTTTTATAGGCTGCCTCGTTAGCCGAATGGTCGCAACTGCGACTGCCGGGCAAGGGGTCTCGGGTTCCATTCCCGGGTCGGGCAAAGTATTACTGGGTTTTTAAAAAAAATCTCAGTAGTAGCACGGAGTCTGGAATTGCGCCCGGTATATGACAATAGGCTCACCCCCTATTACATGGGACTCATAACATAAATAGTGGAAAGTGGGTGTTACTTTGTACAGTGGCATAATGTGCACCTCTGCCTATCCCTTCGGGAATAAAAGGCGTGATGTTATATATAAAAAATATAGGTACTTATGTCGCAGCGAAGTTTAATTAGGCATTCAGTTAAACTGTCAAACACCAAGCGGTCACCGGTGACCGCAACCTATTGTTCTATAATTGTGTCTACAAAACCGGTACTCGACGAGTTAATGGCTTACCCAGTTTAATACAGACCGTAGTTTGACAACATGGTCCTAAAAATATATATACCTGTACCTACCTCACTTAGTAATTATGTGTTACCTAGTACATTATCGGTAATCATTTATGTTAATACAATATTTTACGTACTTCCCTAGCACGTTGGTGACGTCACGTAATGAAGTTCATCGTGTACTATTTTAACTAAGTAGGCATAGGTACTATATTTTTATCATTTTATTGCAAAGTTCAAGCATGGGGGCTTGTTCAGTGCGTCATAATGCAAGATGGCCGCCCGTCGCTGACGTAAAGTCATGACATGACTCGTCTGGGTTTAGTTCACTTGTTAGAGTTAGAACACATAGTTGCATAGTTATATGGGTTTTAATGACAAATATATGACACACCCATATTTCTCCTGACCTTGTTCGAAGTTGAGGAAGGAAATATTACTAAATGCACTTAAATGTGGCTGGAAGGAAATGGCAAACATAGGAATTGCTAGTGTAATAAAACATTATGCCTTGTTTTCCTAGAAGAAATGTAAATAAAGAAAAGGTCGTAGTGTAAAATAGTTAAAAACTTTATCCATATTCAAGCCGTCACTTCTTAGGAAATTTTTGTTTTTTTTTATGATATAAGCCGGTAAACGAACTGACGAATCACCTGATGGTAACAAATCGGCGCAGCCCACAGACATCTGAAACACCAGAGGCGTTACAAGTGCTTTAACGGCCTTTTGGGAATTGGGAATTTGAGGATTGTGGGAGATTCGAGGATTGGAAAAACTGGAGATAGGGGGGGGGAATGGAATTGAAATTGGGCCTCGAGTAACCTCACTCACTCGACGAAACAACGCGAGCGTTGTTTCACGTCGGTTTTCTGTGAGGCCGTGGTATCACCCCGGTCGAGCCGGCCGATTCGTGCCGAAGCATGGCTCTCCTGCACTTTTAGAATTGTAGTGGCTAGTGCCTAATAAAATAGTTTATTTTTCTTAACACATTAAACGCCGTGGGGGTCACCGGTGACCGACGTTAGCGGAGGATTTGCCTTCAACAGTTTTCTATTGGTAGTCAAAACCTTAAGGACGATTGAACTTATCACACCGTATTCCAATCACTTAAAAACCAATTACGTATCATTAAAATACGCACAAAGACCCACTTCAAACAATAAGTCATAAAATATCGATCAAGAATACCTTTATATAAGTAGGTAAAATCATTGCTGAGTGTAAATTCCATTGCTAATACGTAAAGCCCTCGTAGATATAGTCACAATGATAAGTCCATGAAGTAGTCACAATCAATGTTCATGTATCCTCAGTAATAAGTGTCTATTTTGTCAGTTTAAATAATTTTCATGCGACAGGTTAGTAAGCCAGCAGATACAGCACCTGATGGTAAGCACTTGACATCACCCATGGTCCTGAAACATCAGGGGAAAAGGTCGTTGCCGGCCTTTTGTGGATTAGGAATTACAGTATTGTTGGGGATTCAGGAATTGGAGAGATTGGGAAGGGGTGGGGGTAGTTGGGTATCCGGCAGGCGTGATTTCACGTCGATTTTCTGTAAGGCCGCGCTATCGCTTTGCTCGAGCCGGCCCATTCGTGCCGAAGCATAGCTCCTCACACTTGAGATTGGTCGGTAAGCCGGCAGAGAGATCACCTGATGGTAAGCTCAACATCACTCATGGGTCACAACTGCAGTACTAGAGGAAAAGTGCGTTGCCGGATTGGATTGTTGCTCTGAGAATTGGATTTCGGGAATTCTAAAACTTCCATGTGAAGAGGAAAGGCCGGATTTATAAGCAAAATCTGTCTCTCTTACCAACTTACTCGTTAAATCAGGAACACGAAGTGCATCTTGGTCTCCAGTATAAGAGATATCGGATCGCCATTTCACACGTAGTTTATTTGAAAGGCTAGGCTTTTAAAATCTCTTCAAGACAAAATTTCACACGTTCTTGGTATATTCCCGCCAATTACCAGGTCAAACGACAAACACGCTCGACCATCATTAAAAAAAAATAATTTTAAATATGTATATTTTGTTCTTATATCAAACCCAACGTCACAGTTCATTAAATTTCTTTAGATACTACGTCAGAATTTAGACCAAAAGGTATAGGTATTAAATACGTTAATTAAAACATCAATTAATTGACAGAAGTATTGTGTAAGAGATAGGCATTTAGTTACGATGCGTTCCATATAAATAATTGAATAAACTGGTCGGAGTATCTAAGTACTAACTACCGACTGTCGATACCGACGCATATTGAATTGCGAATTCTAAGAAACCCTGGTTTTTTCAAGTTAAGGAAAGTTTAACATCGGTTTATATACTTACCTACTGAGGTAGATAGCAGGAAATATAAGTAGATCTAACTATATTTTATTTTATTCTTTCATCAACAGCCTATAGTATAAGCCTAAGTGCCCATTGCTGAGCAAAGCCTCTTCTCACACTGAAAAGGTTTGAGAATTAATCACCAAGCTTGCCCATTGTGGGTTGGCGATTTCAAAATTATAAGTCCAGATTTCCTCACGATGTTTTCCTTCGCCGTATTTCAGTGGTGTCTAAAGAATCTTAGAAAGTAGGTACATATAACTTGGGAAAAATCACGGAGTACCAATGTGCGGAGTCCGTTGGTAGTTTTCGAACCCTCATGCATGAGAAGCGGGCGTCTGAACCTCCGGGCACAATACTGTACAATTCTTTAATTTGACCTTAATACACAGATATTGGATTGAGATAGGTTACTGAAATCGGCAGTAAGTGTTTGATTGCCCGTAGATTTTAAGACTACCGGTTTTTTTATGGAATAAGCCGGTAAACGAGCAGACGGATCAGCTGATGGTAAGCAATCGGCTTCGCCCATAGACACCTGGAACACTAGAGGCGTTACAAGTGCGTTCCTTTTGGGGATTAGGAATTTGAGGATAGTTTTCGATTGGAGAGATTGGTCCTCAGGTAACCTCACTCATATGACGGAATACAACGCAAGCGTAATTTCACATCGGTTTTCTGTGAGGCCGTGGTATCACTTCTGTCGACCCGGCCCATTCGTGTCGAAGCATGGCTCTCCCACACTTAAGTGATTAAGTGTTGAAGGCAAATCATTCGCCAACGATGCACGTTATACCATTCATTAGTTTATAGACACTTCAAGGGTTAAGAAAGAAACCACACACAATCCATGTTAAATTCAAATCATTAAAACCACCCACATTATTATTTCGATTACACTAATAAGGCCCTTTGAAATTCAAACAAAAATTTAAAGGACTAAAGTATCTGTCTGTCTGACCGAATGGGTTCCCATTTACTCGCTCCAAAGGTGT